AAGATAGCGTTCGGTAATGCCGTATAACGTCGAGTAAGAAATACAGCGTTGGGTAATGCCGTTTGACGTTGAGAAAGTAGTACAGCGTTGGGTAAGTAGTACAGCGTTGGGTAAGTAGTACAGCGTTGGGTAAGGAGTATAACATTAAGTAAGGACACACGTTAAATGCTCCACGGCAGCTAGTCACGGCACATGCACAGGCAAATTACCAGCATAGCGGGCCACCACACGCGGCGTCACCGTACGAGCTGGACCAGCAAACGGAGCATCACCGACTCGCGTACGCTGTGGCTGTGCTTTCGTTCTTTTTTCTTCTGTTAGAATATAATACAATGGAATAGAATGGAACGGAATGGAAATAGAAATAAAATAGAATAGAGTAGAATAAAATAGAATAGAATAAAATAGAATAGTATAAAATAGAATAGAATAGACTAGAATAGAATACAATACAATAGAATATAACAGAATAAAATAGAATAGAATTGTCGGCACGGAAGAAATAGGCCCATGGCCTGTTGCCGATTTTTGTACTTTTCGTGACTTGATTCACAAGTAAACTTCGTGACTTTTCGTGACTTGATTCCGATGTACTTTTCGAATCAGACCGAAAGCTACAGTACTTTCCTCGTGGTACATTTAGTAATTCATTTTCATGTTTCGAGAGAATTCCAGTTCCTTATTTTGCAATTAATGATTAATATGGTATTTGAATTTCCGTACGATAGACTGCGACAGATATACCGGTGTTTTACAATTTTAATTTTTGTTTCAAGCTCAATTGCAATGAATACTTTCTTACATGGAGTAGAAGCTTCTTTAAAATGTTTTAGTAGAAAGTTGTTACTTTTCCCTTTATATATTGTCACATATACTGATAATTTGAATGCGCTGTAGTCTTATCGAATAGTATTATCCTTAGCTTTAACAGTTAGAATAGAATAGAAGTGTCGGCGCTGAAGAAATAGGCCCATGGCCTCTTGCCGATTCTTGAACTTTTCGTGACTTGATTCACAAGGGATCCGGCCTTTGGAACCCGATCTTTCCATAGCTGACGATTGATTGAGATAGCTGCTGGACTTAATTATTGCCTGGTCCGTAATTTGCTAGGCATTTTAAGACTGAACATATGCTCCTGCATAGCTTCGTCTAGTCTGTTTTTGAAGATGTTCATACTCGGAGCTTCAACGATGCTATCGGGGAGGCTGTTCCACATGTCGGTGACTCGCAGCGAGAAGAAATGTTGTCGCGTGGATGTGTTACAACGCTGTTTTTTTAGTTTATAGCCGTGGCCCCTGGTGTTGGTTCTTGTTTCAAATTCTAGTAATCCTTCTGGGACCTTGTATAAGTCATGAGTAGTTCGAAGTTCCATCTCGTTCATTTCTGAATTGATTTATTGATTTGATTTATTTATTCACACTGGGAAACACGTTACAATGAAATATATAAGAAACGTGAAATAAAATAGCAAGGCTTCCAAGTGAATGCCCATATAAGCTAAAGAAAGCTTCGCCGGCAATATAATAGGTATAAAACTCTATTCTAATGATAATAAGATGACGATGAGAACAAATAAGTGACATTTTTTAAAAATAATCACACCCATTGACAAAAGCCGTAAGAAAACTGATAACCACATGTCATAATAAAAAAAAACATCAGCATAAAAGAGGCAATACTAACATTACACTGAGTAAAACACGGTACAACTAAAAACATGTAGCCAAAGTGCTTAAAAATTACAGGATAGTCTAAATCAAATTAATACTGGTTAATTAAGGATAAAATCACGTAATTCTATTTTCAAAAATACTTTGAAGCAATCTTCTTTGAACTCATCTGGCAATTCATTAAAATATTTGACACAATTAAAAACGGTACCGTTTTTTTCTATTTCTAAACGAACCGTTGTTAAGTTTAATCGAACGCCCCTGGTGTTATGGGAACGTTGAGGAACAAAAGGGGGCGAAAAAGATATACATGAATTTAATTTCAATTTATTAGCCCAGACATGTGGCTAAATTTTATTAAGGGGGAGAGAAATACAATGAACTTTTCTATACTTTATTGAAGCACAATATAAGCGTCGTTTTTTAAAATTAATTATAGGAATGGGAGTCAATTATAACAGCTTCACGAAATGACATACCGAATTAATGAAAATGTGCAAATGCATGTAAGATATCCATACATCGTCATGTATATGCAATCACATGCTTATGAAGCACCTACGTTCATGAGTTTTAGCTTTTATTTGCACACTATTATAACGTACGTGGAATTTTACTTGCCCATTGTTGACGAACATTGTATTGTATTCACACAATGTTGACACACACCAGCTTATACTCGCTCGTTGTTTACGTATAGATGTAGTGAAACATTCAACTTTCGTTTGAAGATTTGCTCTCAAGAGTGCATTACTAGCCACAGATGTATTTTTCAGAAGCGGTTCATAGCTTAATTAGGCTTAATAAAGCTATGTCTTTTAGAGGCGCTTAATTACAACAATAACCTAATTAATTAATTAATTAGGCAATTAAAGGTAATTAATTAGGTTTTTATTGGTTCTTTAATTATGCAATTATAGGTAGTTTGTTAGGTTATTATTGGTTCTTTAATTAGGCGATTTAAGGTAATTAATAAGGTTATTATTGGTTCTTCAATTAGGTAAATAAAGGTTATTAATTAGGTCATTATTGGTTCTTTAAATAGGTAATTAAATGCAATTAATTAGGTTATTATTGGTTCTTTAATTAAGTAATTAAAGGTAATTAATTAGGTTCTTATTGGTTCTTTAATTATGTAATCAAAAGTAATTAATTAGGCTCATATTGGTTATTGAATTAGGTAATTAATTAGGTTATTATTGGCACACAACGACATACTAGATCTGAGGTTGCATGTTGACTGCATCACTTATTAAATAATATATTTAATAGTAACAATATTTAATAGTAACACGAAGTCCATGTAACAAGTCGTAACATTATTATATATGGTATTTCCTGCAAGCATCGTAAGAAACGAGGGCGTATTATCATAACTCGCTCAAGTACACGTAGCGGCCTAAGTACACGTAGCGGCCGGTCTCTAGTCTGTGATTGGTGGGTTTAGCTTGAGGAGCCATCAGTGATTGGCGTACGGAGTAACAAACTCTTATCTATTTCTGATAGCACGGTCTCAGAATTGGAAAAGGAATCAGAGCCCGTATGGCGCTATTAGGCATTGGAGATGGCGTTATCTATCGTTTGCCTATGATTACCGTACTTATCTGATGATAATTTTACTTGCATTTTCTTGTTAACGTATAAGTGAAATTTATAAACTTAAGATATATTTTTCTTATTGGCGTAAATTTCATGACTAATGATGTTCAACATAGAATTTTGGATTAGGCAGCAACATATTGTCAGAAATAATATTTAATATGATGATAAAGCAGGATGAAATTCTTGAATCAAAGATTTATGGTTTTACAGTTGCAGAAAACATATAAATATAATTAAAATATTTAATTGAGGCGCACTTCGAAAAAGACTTCGAATAGGGCGCTATTTATAGAACTTCCTTCAGAGGAGGTTTGGCTCTCTCAACAAATAAAGCTGCTTTATACTACACTCCCATTCATCTTTAATAAATTCTCTGACACGTTTACAAACCTTACTTTGCCAGGATTAGCAATTCATTTCTTCCTGAAACAACAAGATCAATCTCAGCCTTACGCTTGTTAGCTATTCTCTTATCAGGGAGAACTAAAGCCATTCTTTGCGAAGTTTTTAGAGATAAACATTAGTTACTCGTAGTAGATTCCTATATTGCAATATCGGTCGAGGAAAAGCTTATAAAAAAAGTTATTCATGTACTGCCAGCGCTGATTTTAATTAAAAGTAATTCATTTGCCGTCAAAATTTATCTTAATCCAAGAATTCATATCAATCCTAACATTAACGGACGCGTCCGAACACATGTAATGATAACCGACCTGGGGCCATACTTTCAAAACTCGCTAAGTGAACGTAAGTACTTATGCTCTATTTTCTTGTCTATGATTGGTGGATTTTGCTTGAAAGGCCGTCAATGATTGACTGATGAACTTACGATCTCTTAACTTTTTTCTGAAAGTATAGCTGCGGCGATGTCGAGCGTAGCTCAATGGAGGTTAGGCTAGTTTAGCATTTGACCATAGCGGTAATTTTAATGCTTCAAAAATATACTTACATATCGCACGCGTAAAAACGGAGTATCTTCAAAGAAATGCATGAGAAATTCCCATACATACAGAAGTATGTATGGGAATTTTTTTATTAAAAAAACTAACAAGAAGCGAATAAATAAAACTAATTAACTTGCTTAAGAGAAGAAATTCTGCCTGCCTACACTAATACATACAGAAGTATAGATATATCAGTATCCAAATGGTATTTTATAAATTTACAATCAGATTAATTAACGGTCATAATCTAATCTAGGAGAAATGCTAAAAGGTGAAGTTCTAACGCACCTCTAGTTCGAAGAATTCAAATTGGTAAAATAACAACGAATGTTCTAGCGAACGTTTAACCTAAAAGATTAAAATTAGGGACTGAAATACCAAATCACGCAAACATTGCAGTAAAGCAGTTTAAAAACATTTTGCTCTGTATTCACTGAATACTGTATTGTAGTAATCCAAAATTAGTTGTCAGAATCGCTACACGATGGTCCATGACGCTGGAACACAGATGATTCAGACAAGCTCAATCGGATTTATTTACCGATCCTAATCTTCAACACGGCACGTTATCGTGTTACTAGAGTGTAGCAAATTTTAAATTACAGTTGTCATCAAGTAGCATTAAAGGGCGTTATGGCCCTTTTCTAAATTTAGTTAGAGGGTTCATCAATTATCCAGATCAACCCTCGAAGCGCAAGTGGCTACTTGAGTACTGGGCGAGCCGCGAGGGCAAAGTAAGTAATTTCATCCGAATAGCAATAATTAGGCAATTAGAAATATTTACCTGTGATATTTATCGACACCTGACACTTCAGATTCCGAGGTTATTGCTCGGTCTTTGGAGTTTGTTTACATAGAATTTCTAGCGCCCAACACTGCACCACCAACTCAGACCACGACTGGAGCTTCACTGCGGCTGCAGCGGGTCGGGACTAGAGAACGAGAATCCATGCGGCACGAGTCACGCGAGCGGAGACTGAGATAAATATTCCTTTCCACGAAATCAGGCCATCGGCGTTACTCAGTTACATACAACAAGAAGCCTTTACATGAAGATATTTACAATTGAATCTATAATTTAGTTAGTGTGAGTTTAAGGAAGCTGATAAAATTTCTTGCAGAATAGATTGTTTTAGATTTGAATTAACAATCAATAAACTCTTGCAAACCTTGATTGCTGTTTACAGACTTTTGTAACCTTCATCAAAGAATTTTATTCATTGCAACGGTTTAAAATTCAATGAATCTTTTTACGCAAACACTTTTCCGGCTTCATGAAAAAGTAATAGATTTATAAAACGTAATATGAATACAATTATACTCGTAATTAATAACGTGGGTATTCGGAATTTTCATATCTAATTAGAGCTCAGTAGGAAAACAACTTCTCGTGCGACTCGTCAGACTAGGCAGTAGGTATCATTGACTGTGGAGTGTCTCTGGATTCTAATATTACTTGTTTATCAAGTTGGTGAGTTGCTCCCGTTGAAGCTTAAATGAACGTTAATGTTAGTTTTTAAATGATAGCGAACTCAATTCATATTGTAAGAATGCATTTAAATTGTTAATTTCCATAACATGATATCTGTAGCATCCTAGCTAGCAACCATCCGTACTTCTCAAATTAATCCACTAAAGAAATAGCTCATGTGCCGTGTCATTTGGTCAGATAAATTTGCACGCATGACAGTTCATCACCAGCTCTCCAACCGAAAACGTTCAAATTTGAATCACACGTGTTTCAAGTTTAGTTTCTCCCTTACCTCTGTTTAAACCCACCGCTTCCTATCCAGTATTAGCTACTGGTCGTTGCTCTGATATTCTGGGGTAGATTGAACACGAATGTATTGCTCTGTGAGAGGTTATGGAGGCCTGATGCATCCTGCAAGCACCCACGCGGTGTTGGAATAGTCCTGTTGGGTGGTGCGGATGTGGTCTTCCAATTTGACCCATGAGGAAATTGTCTGCTAGTATTTATGCATCTGTAAATAATTTTGTAAAACTATTACTTGGAAAATTTATGCGACGTAGGTCGTACCGTGGAGAAGTAATTTGAATTTTGATTCCCAGTCCTTCTGCTGGCTTAGAGGCAGTTGGCACTCCTGGACATAGCCGTCATAAGCCCTGTTGCCGATCGCGAAACTCGTGAGCGCAATAATAACTGGGTATAATGGTTCCATATGAGATATCATTCGTTATGAAGATCAATTATATAAAGAACTAATTCTTCATCTTTTGATGATGCTAGAAAAATATTTTTTATGTTGCCTGACGCGATCTCCACCGCATCTATACCGGAAGCTCTGCGCCCGCATTTTGCTAACCACGACAACGTTCGACTGGAAAGTATCCAGTTGCTAAGAAAGCATAAGGTGCCTGTACACAGGGATAGTACTAACCGCTAGTTAATCCGGCGCTTGATCTATCCACGCTACTAGCCTCGTGTATAAGGGGTTCAGCCGCTTCAGAGGCATGCGCCGGCAAGTGCTCGAGGCGCGGCCGAGAGAGACAACGATGTGTTGATATCTTGGCAGGAGAAGTGGCTAGTAGCGTTGATGAAGCCATGGAGAGAGCATCTGTGCCGCTCCTGTGAAGTATCTTGGGTCACGTAAATCATGGCTTGTTTGAACGATAATGTTTCTAAGAGGAATCCAACAAAGTGGATTCCAGACGATATTCAATTATTCTTTGAAATAGTCCAAAAATATGAAATAAAGTATAATGTTTTTAATGATGGTTACTCCAACAAAATGAAGAGAGAAACGAGTATTTTGAAACTGAAAGAAGACCTTATTAATCAGGGTTTAGTTGTTCCCGACGCTGTATTTTTAAGGGCTAGAATATGGAGTATAAATAAAATACTTAAAAAAAACTTTTTAAAAAACCACGTTTTTCTTGTGGACTAAAAAGTAGAAAATAAAATACTTAAAAAAAACTTTTTAAAAAACCACGTTTTTCTTGTGGACTAAAAAGTAGAAAATAAATTATGGCTCGCCCCAAAAAACGTGTGTCGGGCAGATTTCTCTAATTGCTAGTTTTTATGATTGTATCTGAAATTGTTAGGCGAAAATAGCCTGCATGCCGAATTTCAGATCTCTAGAGCAATCAGAAGTGGGTTAATTTTCGTTGTCAATTTTAACAACAAACAAACAAACGCGAAGCTAAGCTAAGAAAAACGTTTTAAAAAGACGTACAGACTCGAGTTGTTGAAGGTGATCACACTATCCATCTTCCCATACCTCCCTCACTCGACGGCTTCTAACGACTCACTGGCGGGCGCGAACGAGAAGATAGGGGCACCTTATACTCTCCTCGTGTGTACAGGCTTACTAGCCGGATAGTCACCAAGCGACCGACACTAGCCAGATTTACTAGCCGTCTGCACTATCCCTGTGTACAAGCACCTTATATACAATCTACAGTCGTCGGGAAACGTGAGATTGTCTAATTCCCCTTTGTGAAGGAATTAGGACCAGAACTAGTGATCCAAGTGTAGCTTGAAAAATGCCATTTACGGTTGCAGAGTTAGTCCAGCCAATGGGCCCACCTCCGCTCGAACGCAATAGAACCTTGCCAAGGGATGCGACGGAAACTCGATGGAGTCTTAGAGATGTTTTTAATGTTACGGAACTAAATTGAGACGACATAGGGAAGGCCTTGCCACCGAGATGTAGGTATGGCTCCGGGATGCAGGTGAGGCGACCGGCCAAGTAGGAAGAGGAGCCAGTGCATGTTACTCGTGGCTGAGTAGCCCTCTGGACTGGCCAGTCAGTGGATCCATCTGTCGTAGAATGCACGAGGTTAGCAATCGCCGTTTGGAACATATTAAGAGTTTAAATTGTAGGCATGAGAAGAGAAGCTCGAGGCAATCAAAAGTGAACTACTATAGTAAGTGCTCGTCTGACTGGACATATTTCAACGACGTTTGAGGCAGGTTAGGTTAGGTACCTATCGTCCATAATAGTCGATACCTAATTAGCTAGGTAGCCGATGACGTGGCTCAGCGACCTATGGATAGCCATGCTTGATGAATTTCCTTGACACCCTTGGTCCAACCCCATTCACCTCGTACCCAAAGCAGACCTGGCGTACATCGCATCTGTGGGGACTACCGGACCCTCACCGTGCTGACCGTGCTCGACAGGGACCCGCAAGGTTGAACTAGCTACTAGCACAAGGTTAACCCATGAGAAGCTACATTTTTACGGATGTGGTCCGTTGTTCGCCAGTGAGGTCACTGATCTCGGTGATGTCTCGGGCATTAACCAATCACTGATAAGCGATCAAACCAGTCAACCAATCCGTCATGGGAATGACAAGATTGTTTACGTTTCTCGATATCAGTGACGTAACAAAGCTGAACTGAAAGCGGAAATCCTCTTGGTCTACTTTGTATAGTTCAACCATGGGTACCCAGTGCCACACATCTATACCATTTCAAGCAAACCTAGAATGTTAATCTATTTTTTTCTAAAATAGACTTAGTTCAGGCCTACCATCAAATTCCTATTCACCGTGACTATTTTTGCTAAACCGCAGTAACCACTCCTTTCGGTAAATATGAAGTCCTAAAAAATGTAGCTTGGACTACGGAATGCTGGTGCCACATTTTAATGCGAAATAGGTAAGTTTCTTCATTCAATGTGACTGTCTTTTTTATATTTAGATGACCTACGTGAATTTTCGTCCAGCCCTGAGCAAAATTATTGAAGTTTAGAATTCGTACTCAAAATTCTTGCTGACCATAACCTGCGTATATCTCTCTAAATGTGAATATCCAATCCACAATTGGATAGGCACGACTATAGTGGAGCGGCAGACTGTCGACAGCGGCAAACGACAATTGAGGCAAACGACAAGCACAACAGCGTTAAACTTTCATTGCTCCGCTGCGCCACGTCAGTTACGTAGCTAATTAGTAGACGTATAGATTCTATCATACATTATCTCAGTGGAACTGGTGGGAGGTGGAACACGGACCTTTTGCTTCCATTTACTGGTAAGCCACAGCAAGGAGATGCCTCAGGTGACATGCTCGCGAAGGCTTTGTTAAAAGTCCACCCGCCCCGGGTCTTATGATTGGCGCATCCTCGCACGAGCAATGTGTAGGGATAGGGAAGTAGGGCACACGGGCTGGCGTACCTTCTCCGGGGGTCTCCCTGGCCACCGGTCACGGCGCCAGTCAGAGTGTTGATCCCGCCACTCCTAATGGAGCTTTTTGTTGGCAATTATTCTTCTTTTTGGCACCCTCAGATTTCGGTGCCTTCATGGACACAATGATTGCAAGCAGCCTGTATTGAGCCGCTGGGCACTCTGTGTCCTCTACGATTTTACTCAAATTTGTTTGTTGCACTCTTGGCAAGAAGGGTACAGCAAATGCTTTGGAGGACTGCAGACACCTGAGATATTGTAGAATCCTCTGTTAGGAGGGGATAATCAAATATCTGAGTGAGCATAGTTGTTGAGCGTAGGCGTAAGAGTTAATTCTTCCAATTGAAACAACGTCAAGAGCTGAGAGAAATAAATGCCCATTCTTGAATGCGCTGGCTTCAGCCCGGAGGCCGTACTAGGTCAGCGCCAGCAATTGTTAGTGTGGCAAATTACCATAATCAGCCTGGCGGGCCCCTTCGACCTTGGAAGAGTCCAGGCCCTGTGCATGCCTTCAGTCCATGTTAAGATTTAGATCGCCATTCACTATAATGAATAGGTCCCCTTTGGTTAGGACAAGCTCTTCAATGCCAGGACAAACTCTGGTGCCCAATACCCACGCCTCGCTCACCCAGAAGTTGCCAAGCACGCCCTGCGTAACCTGAAGGGTGTCGTATTGGCAACTTTTCGGGTATGTGCCATGGTTAGACAGAAGTACTGAGACACTGTCTCTCGCATGCAAATCACCTGCTAGTGCTGCAATAGTCCGCCGTGCGGAAAGAATGCTGGAAAGGATTCCGATGGATTGCAAAAAAGAAATTCACCAATCTCTAATAATGTAATAAATGCGATATGGATTAGGAATTCCAGTTTTTTCAAAAGATGATTAAATTATACAGAAGTTTGATGGAAATTATTCTATGGAATTTAATTAATAACCTAATATTGAGCAGTTGAATATATGCTCCATAATCTGCTCATCACGACAGTGGCAACAATGGTCTGCTCATCACGACAGCATGGCTTTCTCTTCCTCAGTCCAATTTACCGAACCACGTGATCTATGAGCCAAGGTCGCCTCCGCGTGGTACTCACTTGCATGAGCCCCACGACGGTGCGTAGCAAGACCACGGGCTGATGCAAATGCCCTTTCGCACTCTGGACACAGGTCAACAGGTGCAAGGGCAGGAAAACCGTCCGCCCTGACTGCAGGGGCAGCCGTGTTATCATTCATTTTGCTGTGGAATTTCAGAGCGGACGGGCACTATCGATGTCGGATTTCAATAGAGGTGGGTGGGAGTTGCCGTGTACTTTGGCCCAGACTGAGTGATCACTTGTTCCAATACTTTGTTAGCAAAACACAGAAAGCGTGCGCAAGATACTCTTAAGACAGCTCGTGGATCCCCTTTATTACGTGGAAGCATTACATCGGACTTCAGGGGGCGGGGTTAACGGTGATTGTTAACCCCGCGCTCCCTGCTGCAGATACAGTATACCCCCTTACTGTCCACAAAGGGGGTTGCTCAACCACGAGCAACACATATTGGCTCTTCATCCTCCTACCCTAGCGCCATAAGCTCTGAAGTCAGTCGCAGTACAGGTAACCCGGTGGGACCTTGCAACCCCGGCGATCTCTCTACCCCTGCTGTTACAGGACACCTGTAACCCGGCTTCCTTCTACTTTTCCTTCCTCAATTCATATTGTTTATTAAATGCTAAGTAAGTTTTACGTGTTTCGAATTGCATCCCGTGACGAGGCCCGGTTGCGTTGGTGCGTTCACAGTAGATTCTATGGCTGAACTAACTCTAGACTAGACCATAATTGGAATTTTCCAGCTTCTCTGAACTAAGGTTGGTAGGTCTGAATTTCTTATCAGCTGTAGGTGCCGCAGTGCATCAGATGGTTAATTCAGAGTCGATACCAATTGGCTTCTTCTAGAGGAAATAAACCGAAGCGCAACGAAAGTTCTTAACTTTCGACAGGGAGTTATTTGCCTGTTACCTTGCCGTCATTAATTTCACAGCTCAAATTGGGGGAAGATGTGTAACCATTTTTACTGATAATAAACCTTAGTCCCATGCATTTCAAAAACAAACGCCTCTCAAAACTGATGAACAGCAACGTTACGTGTCGCTGATAACCGAATTTGTAACGGATATATAATAGGTAGCCAAAATGTCGTTGCAGATTGTTTAAATGCTTTTTCAATGCAACAGACAGGACGATGAAATTACGTCATTTAAAAGTAAACTTAAACCGTTTAATACTAGTAATCAAACGTTTACGTAGTAACGTATTAATCATTTCTCAGGGACACGGTTATGTCTGCAGTTGATGCGTGTGTACCTACAATTAAGCTTGGTGGTGCCAAAAAACTCTGTGGATGAACAGTACAGTTTTAGCATAGCTGAAAACAAAGGAGGAAGCATACCAGCGTTATTTATAGACTCGTAGCGATGCTGACAATAACCTATACGCAAGAGCTCGAAATCAAGCTAAAGAAAGCTGTCGCACCGCAGTAAAAACCCTAGAAAAAAAGTATTGCTAAAAATGCAAAAAATAACCCGAAAGCCTTCTTTTTGTACGCTAGCTCGAAGTGCAAGATGAAGGACGGTATTTCTGATTTGAGAGTAGATCAACGAAAGATATCCTCTGATGAGGGCAAAGCTAACGTACTTAATCATTTTTTCAGTAGCATATTCACTGAAGAGGACTTCAACAGTATTCCAGCTATTGAGGAGCGCCCAGTCGGCTCTAAATTAACAAGCTTTCAAATACAAGAAGAAGAGGTTCTCAAGCGCATTATCGCTGTAAATCCAAACAAGTCATGTGGACCAGACGGCTTCCACCCCAGATTACTCAAAGAGGTAGCAACTGTCCTAGCGGCCGAAATGACCCTCTGACGTCATTTTTTCGAAAAACTTTGAACGAAGGAATGTTGCCGGCTGACTGGAAAGAAGCTGAAGTGACACAATTGTTCAAAAAAGGTGACAAAAGCTGCCCGGGCAACTATCGCCCTGTCAGTTTGACAAGTGTCGTTTGCAAGGTAATGGAATCTGTTGTGAGGGATCGATTGATAGATCATTTGACTGCTAATAATCTCCTATCAGACTGTCAACATGGCTTTATTGCCGGGAGATCCTGCACCAAATTCTCTCTTGATCCTGCCAAGCGTTCTCTTGTCTACTCTGAACGAATGTACCCGCCTGCAGGACGAAAGGGAGCCAGTAGATGCAGTGTACCTCGATTATGCCAAGGCATTTGACAGTGTCCCACATGAGCGGCTGTTGCGTAAATTGATGTCTTTTGGAATTGAGAGTAATGTACTCAAATGGAACAGAGATTTTCTAGTAGGGAGGCGACAACGTGTCAGTATTAATGGGTCCTTATCAGACTGGGCTCCAGTGCGCAGTGGCGTGCCACAAGGAAGCGTTCTCGGGCCTGTTTTATTCGTTGCGTTTATAAAAGATCTGCCAGAAGCTGTGTCTAGCGTGTGCTCGATGTATGCTGACGACACAAAAATTTATAATACAGTGAAGAATACGGCGCAAAAAGTACAGTTGCAAGGTGATCTAGAAAGGCTGGTTGACTGGGCTGATAAGTGGCAGCTGCGTTTTAACGCTGACAAATGTAAAGTTATCAACCTTGGCAAGAATAATGAACAGCAAGATTACAGTTTGAGAAGACACGGTTGCAACGACAGAGTGATGATGCCGAAGTCTACAATGGAAAAAGATTTAGGAGTTAATATCGACAATGAGTTGAAATTTCGTAAGCATATTGAAGGTCAAGTTAATAAAGCCAATAAACGAAACTGAAATAGTCGCTCTTTCGAGTTCCTAGATGCAGAAGCGATAAAGCAGTTGTTTGTTGCTGTCGTGCGCCCGAACCTAGAGTTTGAAAACGTCGTGTGCTCACCGAAATTTGAAAAGGACAAAAATTTAGTAGATAGTGTTCAAAGACGCGCAACAAGGATAGTTCCGGGCTTGAAAGACAAGTCTTATGAGGAAAGATTAAAGATTATGAAGCTTCCAAGCCTCAGTTATCGACGTCTGCGTGGGGAACTCATTGAAGCATACAAATATACTCTTGGCTTATACAAGGTCCCAGAAGGATTACTAGAATTTGAAACAAGAGCCAACACCAGGGGCCACGGGTATAAACTAAACAACAGCGTTGGAACACATCGATGCGACAACATTTCTTCTCGCTTCAAGTCACCGACATGTGGAACAGCCTCCTTGATAGCATCGTTGACGCTCCGAGTATGAACGCCTTGAAGAACAGACTAGACGAAGCTATGCAGGAGCATATGTTTAGTCTTAAAATGCGTAGCAAATTACGGACGCAATAAGTCCAGCAGCTATCTCAATCAATCGTCAGTTATGAAAAGATCAAGTTCCAAAGGCCGGATCCTTTGTGAATCAAGTCACGAAAAGTTCAAGATCGGCAACAGGCCATGGGCCTATTTCCTGAATGCCGGCACTTCTATTCTAATCTAAACTGCCATTTGGTGCGATACATCTTTACCAGCTTCGCTGCCTATATGTGGCTAAACAGTCCCGGTTTTCAATTTTTTAATTGTTACATAGTCTTCGGCACCCTAGTATTAAATCTACCTTCAGTAAAATTATATTGAGATTTTAGTGGCCGGACATGGATAGAAACATTAGAGCTTGGGTGCGCGAATATGTCATTCTTGTCAGCAAAACAAAATTCTTAGGCATACAAAATCTAATGTTAAAACCTTTGATCAATTATCTGAAAGATTTAAAACTGTGCATGTATAAATTGTTGGTACTTTGCCTTTGGTTGTACCCGAAAATGAAATGTATCCTAGTTTTATTACCGATAATTGCCAACATGTATAGATAGATCTACAAGATGGAATGAAGCCATACCCCTTGTTGCCTTCTCTGCTTCTTCTGTATAGCCACTGCTACAGAAGAACTTTCTTCACTGCTACAGAAGAAGCTTCACTGCTTCTTCTTTAAAATTTTCAATATCTTGCTCTGGTGTACCGATAAATATTGTAACAGATAGGGTTAGACAATCTGAATTGGATCAGAAAGGGTTAGCCAATTTGAATCAGAACTGTTAAGTGAACTTTCTTCATTAGTTGGATTTGAGAGATTTCGGACGACAGCTTACCACGAACAAACTACATGGTAAAACGTGTCCATAGAATAATCAAAACGGCTATCATGGCTCGGCAATAGAATTAGTTAAACGCAGTGCCAGTTGTAGAGCTAAGCATTAAAAATTTTCCAAATGATTCAGGATTTTCCCCGCTGTTACTGTTACCGGAATATCCTCATTTTTACCCGATCCTTAAGTATCTACTGGTAATTCCATGTGCAGTAGTTACTCTATTCGTAAGTTAGCTTTACAAATGTCTAGAATTGATTTTTACTAATTGCCCGGCTGCCAAATCAACTCCACCCCAAAATTCTTCATTCTGGCTGAACTCGATGCTTCAAGTTACGTTTGGATACGGGGCGACCGAGTGAGACGTGCCTTAATTGGAAACGCCTTACACTGGTCTAGCGAACAGAGTCCTTCAACCAACCAAGAACACTACTCTCGAAGTGGACGGAAAATCACTTTCAAAAAATTAGATCAGTACTCACTGCAGTGAGTGACAGAGAGCGCATTTTCTCGTCCGTCCGCCAATCCGTGAGGTCACCGACGGACGGACATGAGCACAATAGCGCATTTTTAGCGCATTTTCTCATTTATGGAAAAATGCACTATTGTGCTCGCCATGTCCGTCTGTCTGTCTGTCTGTCCGTCCGTCCGTGACCTCAAGTTTTCGTCGACGAAAAAATGCGCTCTCTGTCACTCACTGCAGTGAGTCCTGAGTTATATATTTTTTACATAAATGAGAAAATGCGTTAAAAAGATAAAGACTTTATCTACTATTGAAACATAATATCTCAGCTCCGCTGGGTGGGGAAGTGATGTATATATGTAGCATCCTGGCTAGCAACCATCATTCTTAAATGAATCTACGGAAGAAATAGCTCGTGTTCCGCGTAAACCTTGTCAGAAAAATTTGCTCCTATGACATTTCATCACCAACTCTATAACCGAAAATAATAAAATTTGGTTCACACCCGAATAAAAAATCTAGCTTCTCCTTAATCGCTGTGTATTTTGGCAGCTTCCGATCCTGCATTAGCTATCGGTCTCTACAATCTTAATGGCAAATCTCAGAACAATTGATTGAAGTAATCGAGATGAAAGGCAAAATTTTGTTTGCAATTCTTTTAGTCTATATTTTCCCGCATTTTCTATGTCTAAAAAATTTCCGGTAAACTGCATAATTTTTAGTGTTAAGGTTTCCTGTTAAAAGTCTATGAAAAGAAAAAAATAATCTTAATCCCATGAAAAATAATATAGCTAATGTCAGCGAACTGAAGACAAAACCAGTTCAAACCCAGATTTTACACAAAACTCTATGACTATTAATTCAGAGTACGAAAAAAGATTATTTTTGCGTTTTTCAAATTGAACGTACATTTGCCAGGTACAGCAAATTTCAATATTTTATGCAATTTTTTCCTGTTTTTCCTCCAATTTTTTCCTGTTCTCCACTTTTGAATAAAATTTCAGGTCCTAATAATGTCCCGACGCGGACCTTATTAAAGTATCTTTAAT